TGTAGTAGTAGTACCATTTCCGGTACGGTGAACTGTACTCCATGACATTGATTCCATGCATTCCTTCATTGCGCCTTGCACCGCTGCCGTTGGTAATCACGAAACGTAGTATAAACCTCAAGCATGGCTGCAAAAGGTACCAGATTCGGCGGGAACCGCACGCCTCCATGCAGTGCGTGTCTTCGTGCATTCCTGTCGGAGTACTTTCGCATGCACGCCACACCAAGAACGAACAAGCGCGTGGCCCGCGGTGCTTCCAGAGGGCTTAAGTGGCCGTGTCCCACACGCGTGCAGCCGGTGACAAGTTGAAGGAATTGACCAATTATGAACACTATGCATCCTTCGGAGTAGCCGTGGGCGGTATTTTGTGAGTGACGGTCAGTGCGGGCATCCAACCAGCGAATCTGTTTGCGAATCATTCGCTGTGGCACATCCCTCGGCTTCCTTGGTAGTGGGCCTTCATGCCACGTACAGGCAAGCGACGGGGCAGCTACGGTGGTGTCCCTAGAGAAGAATTATGTAGAGAGGCATTAAGAGTCATGAAGCCAGTAGTATGTATTCTCGAGTCTGGGCAAGAACGACGTGCCAAGGACGTCTGATAACGACCACCCGTGCACCGGCGAATCTAAAAATAGAACCCAAAATCACATGTTTTCTTCCATGTCGCCTGTCCCATCGAGCCCCACGATGGGACAGGAATGGTCACTTTGCCTTTGACAACGCCATTGACATGACGTCCCGCCACACGACGAACGATGACATTCACTTTATTGCGTCGGCCAAAGCGCTACTTGAAGCGTCGCCTTTGTCTCCACGCCCAGAAGCACGCCCGTGGGACAACGCTTCGACCGCGCTCGGTCTCTTGCCCGTCAGCCTCACAGCGTCTATTGGCTCGGGTCAAAGTGTCCTTGGCTACTATGTACAATACGACATGACGCTCAAGTGTCCGATCACATCGCGCGCCTGGACCATCCACAAGCGCTACTCGCAGCTGCTCCAGTTCCGATCACAAGTGGCCAAGCTTCACGCCGCGTCTCCATCGTCCTCGCTCGTTCACGTGCTCAAGCTCCCCTTTCCCAAGAAGGCTCTCGACTCGGAGAAGCCAAGTGTCATTGCCGAGCGCATGCGGCGCTTCCAAATCTTTGTCGAGCACGTCTGGAGCCTATACGCCAGCTGCGTGGTGCCAACCAGCGGCGCGCCAGAGGAAGCCGCTGCCGTCGTCGCGTGTCTACGCGAGTTTCTGAGTGTGCCCGAGGCCGTGCTGGCCATCTCGGTGCGCCACATCAACGAGATGCCCCAGGACATGGACCCATGCGTAGTGTGCTTGGGCGACTTCGACGTTGACGACTTGCGCTGTCCGTCGGTGGTGCTGGCGCTGTCGTGCGGCCATGTGTTTCACCGCGATTGTCTTCAGCAGTGGTGCGCAGTGGCAGCGACGTGCCCGACATGCCGGTCTGAAGTGGGGTCCATGGCAAGCCTGAAGATGTAGCTGAGAAGTGTCGATGTTCTACAATCTATGTACGACTTGTTTCCCGAGTAAGAAAAAAGTGTTTCTTTTGTTTGAGTGTTTTCACACAGTTGGTTTTGTCTTGAACATGCCAGGACTAGTACATCAGCTTTGTACTAGTAGGGTAATTATGATAAAGTACAATAGAGCAAATGAAGACGCACACAGTAGCTGCGATGAAGGATCGGGCGAACATCATGCCATTGAGAACAGCGATGAACTGGACCAACGCATCATCCCGTGTGCGAAATGGTAAGTTGCATTTCAGCATCTATTAACCTCTAGAGACTGTTTCAGGCGCACATTCAAATGCAACGTGCTGATGGCATACATTGAACCTTCTGGCGAGGGCAC